GTTCGGCGGGGTGAGGGCAGGCCTGGCACCCCCAGCGGGCCGATGATTCCTAATGCAGGCTGAGGCAGTGCCGTGGCTCCCTCGCTAGTACGTGTCTAAAGGGGGAGGTAGGGGAGAGAGAGAAGAGCTACTGTGCGATTATCCCAGCTGTACATGCTCTTCCTGCGCGTGCCAGCGGCTCAGATTCGGTTTCCTGGGTAGGGAATAGGTGATCCATAGACATCTGTTCCAGAATTAATATTAAATGCTCCCTGGTCTCTAAAGTGTTGTAGCTTACCACAATTAAAATTGTGATGTAGAACAGTGTTCTTCTGTCTTTTGGCATAGCTGCAGCATTAAAAGGTTTAAATTGTTGCAGAAGCTGCAGAATAAAGGGACTCTTTTGTATTCCTACAGAATTTATCTGCATTTCTGACAGGTCAGTTAAGGTAGATGGTTGAAAGCCGGGAAGAAAAATGGTTTATTCCCAACATAACAGTTGGTTTAGACTTGTTCTAAATTCCTGCAGACTGCTATTATTTCTGTACCTATAATGAATCTCCAGTAGGGGAACAAAATGATTAACAGATGGAATGGAGAGGGAAACAGGCAGTTTATCAAAGTCAGTATCTTCATTGCTTGCAGAATACCTCTTGTTCATATCTTAAAAAGAAAAGACCATTTGGCTTCTGCAAATATCACTGTGTGAAGTGTGCTAGGCCCAGTTAATGCCTTTGTTTTTTAACACTTACTGGGGCTTAAATACAGTCAATATGGAGAGAGATGTCTTCACTTTAACAGACTTAATTCTGTGAAGATAGATGCTAAATTGAAGGTTTGGAGACAGGTAACAGTAAACAGAAATGCAGATTGTAACAGCATGTTTTCTCATGTTCATGCATCTTGACTGTGGATTACCTGTTTGTCCAGGTTTATATTGGAACCATTGCGTATACCATAATAATTTTTCCTGTCATCTTAGTTACATTGTTGATTGCCTCTATGTATATTTTGGTGCAGGTGTTCTTGACTGTACTGTGCATAAAACAAAGCAAGAAAATGGCTTCTGCCCAGTGAAGCAGTCTAACACTAGTTAGGCGTTACCAGTCTAACATTAATATGTGTACAGGAAAAAAGGGAATAGGGGAGTTTTTTAAAAAAAAAAACAAACCAAACCCAAAAAACCAACCCAAACAAAAAACCCAACAACAACAACAGAAAAACAAACTGTTGTGGTGAATGAGGTAAAAGTAGTGGGTGAAAACATCTGTTTCTTTCGTGACTCAAGAGAATTATAGGGGTAAGAGGGATTAACTTCAGAAGAGTAGATAAATACTTAAACATAGTGCAGCGGTTAGCACAGACTAGAGGTATGGTGAGATTGAAGCAATGAGATGGAGGGTTTGTAGAAAATGGGCGGGGGGGGCGGGATTGGCCAAATACTGGGCGACAATACTGGGTGCGCACTCTAAGAATGTGAAGAGCTTATGGACAGGTATCAAATTCACTGTTTTGGGGAGTAATAAGATGTAAGAGAGTACTGGATGCAAAGCTTCAGTGCTCTGCCTCCAGGATGTCCTGGCTTTTAGTGATGGAGAGTGTGGTAACTGGGATGAGGTATTTGGCATGATCTGTTGACTTTGTGTTAACCTGACACATAGTCTTGCGGGAGTAATACAAAACCAGGTCGATTTTCAGTTGGACAGAAAGATCCAAGAATTGTCATCAACTGGTGACGTTAGTAATCTAAGAAATGTGGTGACAGATGGAAAAGTATCGCTTCAGATTACCATGTTCTCTTCAGTCTTATTTAATTAGTTTTTGTTATCTGATTTTCTTTTTTTTTTTTTATAGTAGGCCCCTGCTCTGCTTTAGGCTAGTAGGTCTGAAACAGTAGTATCATAGCTAAAGCAAAAGTTTTCTGAATGAATTATGAGACATAGGTGGTATTCATTAGTTATCGCAATATTTCATTCTTTTTGTGGGTTCTTGAGCTTCCTCCGGGCAGCATCAGTCAGAATTAGGTAACGCTAGTGAAAATGAGAAATTTGTCCTTGGTGAGATAAACTGGGAGGTTTTCATGCTGTGCAACGGCTGTCTTGTTTGTTCCTCTGTTTAACTGTCCTCCGTTTGTCACTTTGCGGTTTGTGAGGAGTAGCAGTTACTCGGCTTTGCCACTTCGTGGTGCCAATTAGTCTAAGATCAGTCTTTGAGAGACTAATTTTTAAAACTTGAGCCTGCTTTAAGCTTTTTAAAAGAGCTTGTTCACTTAACAGGTAACTGAAATACTTGTTAATAGATAGAAAATGCTTCCTTTGCATCAGTTTTGAGTTTGAAAGGTGGTAGGAGGGTGTTTTTGACCTCTGTGAGACCAAAGATTTACAGATTTACAGTGGTGAATAGCTCTGGAAATGATGATATTGTCTACCTTTTGAACTGGTGTTCTGTGGGGACTTGTGAGCTTTGTGTATTAGGAGCATCATTCATCGCTGAGTGGCCATGCTGTTTGAAAATAAGAGCTTATTAAATTTCAGTGTTATTTTAGTCTCTGGTCTTTGCACAGACTGCCAAGCTGAAGCTTTGTTTTGAAGTGCCCACTTGTGGTTGAACTGTTTGCACATAGGTCTAAGTGAATTTACTTGACTAAGAGTGCATTGAGAGTGCTTTTTAAAGTATTATGTTTCTAGAATGTAAGGATTAGATTTAAAGCCAGAAGTAGTTACAATTTCCATGGAATTCCATGACTTTGAATATACATTATTCTAAAATCACTTTTGTAGATGCTTTTATATAATTATTCAAAGATATAGTCTTAGCTTGTAAAGAAGTGGGAATTATAAAGTAAGGTACCAGCTGGTAAGTTGATTTTGATGAGAAGCCTATTAAACTGAACAAAAGGAATGAAATCCTAAGCATTTTGTTGACTCACTTGTGCATTTTTTTTTAATTACACATCATCTACCTCAGTATGTGTTTATATACTCTGTGTGTGTATTTAGCACTCTAATCTGTACCACTGTTAAGCATTTTTTAGCTCGTAAATATTTACAAGTGTCTTCAGTGTTCACATTACAATCAAATCTATTTTGTAGGTGTCTGGAGTGATAGTTTAATTAGGTTATGACTGTTCAGCCTGCTGTTATAATAATGCTGACTTGACTTGTCAAGGGCGTATGCTCAGGAATACAGTTTGGGTTCTGAAAATTAATTGCTTCCGTGGCCAAAATGATAAGACCTTAGATCATAAGAAATGAAATAAGTTAAATTGTATTTTAAATTTAGATTAGTTGCGGTTATTACACTTCCCTAATGCTGTCTAACTAGGTTGGGGTTTGTTTTTTCCCCCTTTCTGGTTTGGGAAGCTTTTTGATGAATGTAGCAGAAGAGGAAGAAAACAGTGGGTTGTAATGTAATGTTGCTTGGAGCAGGTATAGTCTAACATCTAACTGGATAACTTTAATCTTGTTTCCCGTAGGATTTTATGGAAGACCTTGGGTTATGGAACAGAGGAAAGAACTTTTTAGAAGGCAAGTCATGCTTCCTCTTACTGCAGCACATTCCATCACAGTACAATAATATTCTTCTACTTAAGCCTGAAAAGATTTATTATTCTAACCTAGAGTAGCTTTTTGCCCAATATCGATATTCTTGGGGGCTCATATTCACTTTTCCATCTTGCCTAAAACAAATTTGGCCAATATCACTTGTGCGTAAAGTTATTGTGACTTAATAGTATAACTCAATGTTCAATGAAGAAAAAAAAAATCAGATCAAGTAAAACATAGAATTCCTGCATTTGTGGACTATTCTCCCAATGAAGGCTTTTTTCCAATGTTTATAGGCTTCAGAAGTGGGGACTAAATACATACCTGTATGCTCCAAAGGATGACTACAAGCACAGGATGTTCTGGCGAGAAATGTACTCTGTGGAGGAAGCGGGTAATTGCTTTTATTTCCCCTCTGTGTTTTCTATAAATAGACTTTCAAATGAATTGGTCATTACTACATATGCTTGTGTGTGTTTAATCACAGTAGCTGTTTCCAAAGGTGAGCGGAGACCTCTTCTTAGTACCCTGCAGATGTATTTAGTGGAGTTTTGGTACAAGCATGGATTTACTTCTTTTAACTATAACTCTACAGAAGATTTCTAAAACTGCTTTTAAGGCTTTGTCTTACAAGATTTACCTTTTTCCAGGGAAAGGTTGCTCAGAGTTATTCCTCTGGCTCTTGGACATCTGGGCCTTATTTTGAAGTAGATGTTGTTTGCTTCAGAAAAGAAAAAAGATTGATGAGCGAATAGCCCTTTTATGTGATTCATTAAGTGCTTGTCTCAATGAAAGCAGTACCAGTCAGAAAGGCAGCTTCTGACTATTTAGTCAGAACACAAAAGACCTGTTTAAGCTGGTGTGAGGCTTTTTATCCACCTCTGGCATTTATGGGATCTACAGTGTTTTATTAGCCTGTGGGGATTATCATTTTCCTTGGGTGAGGGGAAAAATGATACTCGAAATGAAATAATCCTTCTTGGAGGCCACTTTGAATCACTGCAGAAATAGAATATAAATGATACTGCAAGATAATTAAATATTCTGAAAAATCTCTTTATTCATTGTATGGAAGATTAAATTAAAAGTTTGTTTCTTAAAGCAACTACTTCTGCAGAGTGATGTTAAAAAAGCCCTTTTTCATGTGCCCCAAGCTTCAGTCATATGAATAGTATGTGAATCAGTGTCACACAGGGTGGTATTACTACATTGAATTGTCTCTTAGTATGTGTGACATACGCTGGAAAAGTGAGTAATAATTCTAGAACTGTTGGTGTGCATACTGTAAAAACAGACTACATCCACATTTGTCTTGCAACATTGAGATAAAGAGCATTTTTAAAGTCTTTTAAAAATTTTAACATGGAAAATAACAATACAAGGACAATTTGTTATATTCCTGTTGGCATAATTTCTGAGGACTCTTCCAAATAATTTGGTGCTCTTTGCTGTGTTAGTTTTAAGAAATTCCAGGAAACTTTTTTTTAATTATTGCAGCAGAGGCATCTGCATTTTATAATTTACTTATAATGATAGCTGAGGGTTTTTTTAAATTGTTGAATCTTTCTGAAATACTTGAATTTGATTTCCAGAGCAGTTAATGACTCTAATATCAGCTGCACGAGAACATGAAATAGAGTTCATCTATGCAATCTCACCTGGACTTGACATCACTTTCTCCAATCCTAAAGAGGTGTCCACACTGAAACGCAAGCTGGACCAGGTAAGTGTGATGCAAACTTACCACAGTTGCAGTGGTACTTAATTTGAAAACTTCAGTACCCTGCTCACTTTTGCAGCTTTTCACTAGCTGCTTTAGTGTTTTCAGCACTAGTGTTAGTCTGGATGCCTCTGAACAATTCCAGTTGACTACTTCAGGTTGCATTGCAGAAGTGGCCAGTGATACCTAGATTTAAAACAAAAAAGTCTCATCTTGTATTGGATCCTGAAGACTCTTCCTGGGAGCTTGTCTTCAGAGTAGTTTAGGGCATTGAAGCCCAGATGCATTTCTAAAGCAAGAACTCTTATCCACAATAAACACCTTCGGAGGCAGAGCTGACATACACATCTTCTTTGTTCTCATAATTGACTTCCTTCTTTTGTCCAAAAACTTAGAGAGTTAGCTTTTTTCCAGCTGTCTGTGAGATCAGCTTGGGATTGTTAAAACTGGAACAGATTGCAGGTCTTTAGAGGTCTAATCTTTGAGAATAGCAGAGCAGTGGGTCAGAGATAGGCATTCATTGTGAATAGATACCAATGTCTGTCTTGCCTCCCCTACCTTCTCTCCCTCATTCCTGCAGCTTTTCTTTTCAAAAATTCTACAGTTTGATTTTAAAAAAGAAATAAAAATAACTTAAAAAATTAAACCTTTGCTCTTGTCTCTTTTATTAGGTTTCCCAGTTTGGCTGCAGATCTTTTGCACTGCTGTTTGATGATATTGATCACAACATGTGTGCAGCAGACAAAGAAGTTTTCAGTTCCTTTGCTCATGCTCAAGTCTCGATCACAAATGAAATTTATCAATATCTAGGAGAACCAGACACATTCCTTTTCTGTCCTACAGGTAAAATGAGATGAATCATTTACTTCAGCCTTAAAGGAGGGGCCCTATTATCTTACTGGTTGGAAAGCTGGTTTAATATTTAATCACTGCTTTAAGGAGTATTTTGGGGTTGTTTGAAGAAATTGATTTATAAAGAAAGGTTCAAGTAATTCAAATATATGCAGAGGTTTTGCCAGATCTACACATCTCTGAAAGGCTTAATGCCAAGCAAAGAAGGCAGCTTGATAGAATGGTTCAAGAAGTTCCAACTGAAAATTAGGTTAAAGGAAGACTTCTGTTTGACTTGTATCAAAATCTTTTTGCTTCTTGATCTGGCTAGCTGTTAGTTTCTTAGAATTTTCTTAAAGTAGAGGTACAGCACAATCTGTGCTCACTTCTGTCATTGGTACCTGTTTTTAGTAAGATTACCCACTTTTACTAGTCACTGAGTTGCTTTATTTGTTAAAAAATAAGGTGACTTGTACTCGGGTCCAATCATTGCTTTTTAAAATTGTAAGCTTCCTTTAATAACTGTAAGAATAGTGTAAGGGAGAGAGAATCACTATGTTCAGTGGTGCGGATTGTTGCAAGGAAAATTCAGTTCAGTAGCAATGTTATCATCATTGCTAGTTTGTTTATCCCCTTACATAGTAGTAGTTTGGTTCTGTTGCAGACCGTTAATAGTTTTAGGTATTTGCACTTGTAATCAGTCTTAGGGTTTCTAGTTCTCTTACATATTGTCTGCTATAGCCTGCCGTTCTATTTATGGACTTTATTAGTTTTTTCCTAATTTTGACATTTGAACAATTTTAAATAAATTCTCTATCTTTCCTTTCTGGTGTTTATGCTGCGTATCATTCATAATGTCCTTTGTTTTAGACTTTTGGGCCTTTCTTGATTAATTTTATAGATGTTTCTCTTCTCAAATGGTAGTATTCTCTCAATGTGTTGATGGGACTGTTGGGTATGTTGTCACATGTGTGCATCCTTCTACTAACAGTGATGTTCTCTTTTCCTGTACAGAGTACTGTGGAACTTTTTGTTATCCAAATGTTGCCCAGTCACCATATTTACGGACTGTAGGAGAAAAGCTGCTTCCTGGCATTGAGGTGTTATGGACAGGTAAAAATTGTTTGGTGTGTTGGGGTGGTTTTTTTTGTTTTTTTTTTTTTTTTTAAATTCACTGTTAGTGTTAAAAATGACTTCTCACAAATATTTAGTAAAATAAACTGTCCAGCTACCTGGGGGTTGAATCTTCAACTATATGCAAAGCCCTCTGATTATCCTGTTTCCCTCTTAGGTCCGAAAGTTGTATCTAAAGACATTCCAGTAGAGTCCATTGAAGAAGTTTCTAAGATCATTAGGAGAGCACCAGTTATCTGGGATAACATTCATGCTAATGATTATGATCAAAAGAGGCTTTTTCTTGGGCCTTACAAAGGTCGGTCAACTGAGCTCATCCCTCGACTAAAGGGAGTTCTGACCAATCCAAACTGTGAATTTGAAGCCAATTATGTTGCTATTCACACGCTTGCAACCTGGTACAAGTCTAACATGAATGGAGTGAGAAAAGATGTGGTGATGAGTAAGTATATGTAACTGTTTGCTGGGGTCTATGCTTAACCATATAAGTCATACTGATTTTTTTTTTTTTATTCTAGCTTTTCCTTACCTAGTATTTTCTGTCCCATAAGTAAATGGCAGTTGCCTGAAAGATAATAAGCATCTAGATTATTTTATTGACTTCCTGGGTACTGTCTGTAGCACATGCTGTCAGAGAATTTCTTAGTCTTGAGAGGTATCTGTGGTTGTATAAAAAACACTCTCGGCAAGCAATTTTAATGCCCAAATTTGACATGAGTGTTGTAATAGAAGCAGTTCAGATCAAAAGAGAAACTCTGAATGCCAGAATATCTAATTTCTGCATACTGTTTCTGTGTTAATGCTGGTGGTGACCACAGATTTCCATTTTGTCTAATTAGGATGTAATGCTTTGTTCCTCTTGTGAAATAAGGCTGTTAGAGTTCTTGAATGCCTTGACTAATATGCCTTTTTTTTTAAATGAAACTTGCATGATAACTTTTTAAAACTTGTCTCTGTAGCTGATACTGAAGACAGTACAGTTTCTATCCAGATTAAATTGGAAAATGAGGGGAGCGATGAAGATATTGAAACAGATGTTCTCTACAGCCCACAGATGGCCCTGAAGCTGGCCTTAACGGAATGGTTGCAGGAATTTGGGGTACCTCAGCAATACAGCAGTGAGTCTGATTTGTTATTGTTCTGGGGTTGGTAGAAAAATAGGGTTAAATATTCACTACTTGCATTTAGATTAAAGCTATTTTACAGATCCTGGCAATTTGTATGCTTTTCACTTCAAAGTGTTTTCTGCCTTACTAATTGGGGAAACCTTAATAAAGAGAGAAGAATGCTTGGCATTCTGCAGTGTGCTTGTAGTGCCCCAACTGATCAGCAAAAGCAACTTTGTATGATCCTTTGGTGCTTATGATGCAAGACTGGAAAAAGTCTGGATCTTGCTAGTCCTAGTTGTTACTAGGCTTCCATGGGACCTGAGAGAATATGAAGAATAGTCTTTCTTTTGAAGTGGGTGTTAGATTATTGTAAACATTAGTTCTGTCCCAGAAGAGTCCATGTTCTTCCAGTTGTTTTAAGACAGCTTTATTTTTCTGAGTTTCTGTGTACAGAAATGTCGTGGTTCAGCCCCAGCCAGCAACTAAGCACCACGCAGCTGCTCGCTCACTCCCCCTACCCCGATGGGATGGGGGAGAGAATTGGAGGAGTAAGAGTGAGAAAACTCCTGGGTTGAGATAAGAACAGTTTAATAATTGAAATAAAGTAAAATAGTAATGCTAATAGTAACAGTATAATAATGATAATAATAATAATGATATACAAAGCAAGTGATGCACAATGCAATTGCTCACCACCCACCGACCGATACCCAGACAGTTCCTGAGCAGTGATCGCTGCTCCCTGGCCAACCCCCCCCCAGTTTATATACTGAGCATGACGTCATGTGGTATGGAATAGCTCTTTGGTCAGTTTGGATCAACTATTCTGGCTGTGCCCCCTCCCAGTTTCTTGTGTGCCTGGCAGAGCATGGGAAGCTGAAAAGTCCTTGACTAGCATAAGCAGTACTCAGCAACAACTAAAAACATCAGCGTGTTATCAACATTCTTCTCCTACTAAATCCAAAACACAGCACTATGCCTGCTACTAGGAAGAAAATTAACTCTATCCCAGCCGAAACCAGGACAAGAAAACAGCTGGGTTCCTTCCAGCATTGTACACCCTTCTTGTAGCAATGGGACCTTGGGATCTGAGGTGAAATCTTCTTTTCTCAAATGTGGGTTTGAGGTGGTCAGAATGCCCTTCTCTGATAACTGGGGGTGGAATGGAAGAACCTCTTCTGTATCAGTGCAGAGTTGGGAGGAGTTATCCTTTTGAACTGCTGTAGGATTTTGGATCTTTCTCAAACTCAGGTGCAGCAAAAACATTGGGTGAGGAGTAGTAATTAAGGTGTCATCTTCCTCCATTTTCACAGAATAGTTTAGATTGGAAGGGATCTCTTGAGATCTCCTAGTCTAACCTCCTTGCTCAAACAGGCTGAGTTTAGAGCAGGTTGCCCAAGACCGTGTCCAGTCAGGTTTTGAATATCCATTTTCCCTAGGTTAAAGACATTTTTGCAATTGAAATATTTAGACATCAGGCCTTTTATCTTGAAATGTGTTCTATATCCAAATAAAACTTTAACAAGTTAGTTGATGCAGAGGAAAAAAGTTAACTTTGAGAGCTTTTTATTCTCATGGCATAGTCGGAAGTGTTCCTAGCAGCACATAAATATTAACTAATTTTCCTAACTCTTTCTCCATCCAATCTTTGCTTACCAGTTATGGGGAGGGGAGACTTGCAAAAACCAAAGTCAGTAGTTAGAACTACAGTGACAGAAGTGAACAGTCAAAGTACCAAAATGAAGCTGCGCTGGTCAGATGCTGTGGCAACACAATCATCCATGATTTGCAGAAGTTGCTGATTTGAATGTTAGTTGGCAGATATTGATAACTCTAAACTTGTTTCTTTTTATTCTCAGGTAGGCAAGTGGCCCACAGTGGTGCTAAAACTACTGTAGGGGATGTAGGGCCTCTGGTGGCACCATCCTCTTTAAATGCAGCAACTGTAGTTACCACAGTTTACCAAGAACCCATCATGAGTCAGGGGGCAGCGCTGAGCAGCGAGTCACCGGCCTTGGTAAAGGAGGAAGAGAAGAAGCAATCTGATGAGGAACCAATGGACATGGTGGTGGAAAAACAAGATGATGCAGACAAGAATGCTAATCAGATACTGACAGATATTGCCGAAGCCAAGATGGCAGAGGAGTTGAAGCCAATGGATACCGATAAGGAGAGCATAGCTGAATCGAAGTCCCCAGAGATGTCTATGCAGGAAGACTCTGGTAGTGACATTGCCCCTATGCAGACTGATGAGCAAATTAACAAAGAACAATTTGTGCCTGGGCCAAATGAAAAACCTCTCTACACAGTAGAACCAGTCACTTTAGAGGACTTGCAGCTTCTCGCTGACTTGTTTTACCTTCCTTATGAACACGGGCCCAAAGGTGCACAGATGCTGAGAGAATTCCAGTGGCTTAGAGCAAATAGCAGTGTTGTCAGTGTTAATTGCAAAGGAAAGGATGCTGAAAAAGTGAGTGTGTATCTTATTTCTCTTCTTTTAAATCAAAATCCTGAGCAATGTTATCTGTTGTCTGTAATGGAGACTGGTGTTCCACTTCCTAGAGCTTGAAGGGTAGTGTATAACTAACCACAGGTCACAGTAACATTCATTCCTCCAGTGGAATCTACTGTTTTAAGCCCTGTATGCTGTGTAGCTATGAAGGCAGTCTGGTGTTTGCATTTGACCAGTGATCCCCATGTTGGCCTCGCTTCCAGCAGCCATAGAGAATACCCGTGAGTCATGTGTGATGTGGTATTCCATGCTGGAAAAATGAAGTAATGAGTTGTATAGTCTTCCTCCATATTTAGAGCGCCTCTTCTCCCTAGAAGGCTGTGTTTGATCTTGTGGATCTTTTGCCTTCTTTCATAGATAGAAGAATGGCGTAACCGAGCAGCCAAGTTTGAAGAGATGTGCAGCTTGGTGATGGGGATGTTCACTCGTCTCTCCAATTGTGCCAACAGGACAATCCTTTATGACATGTACTCCTACGTGTGGGATATCAAGAGTATTATGTCAATGGTGAAATCTTTTGTGCAGTGGTTAGGTAGGTGCATTGGGAGCCATTATATTCCCAGATAGTGTATTTTTTTTTGTTTTTAATTAGCCCACGGGGAAAACAAAGTATTAGGCAAATGTGTTTTCTTGGACATGGGGTCTGGTTTGACCCATTTTAAAGGTTTTCCTGTCTCGCTATTTGAAGCAATGCTTGCTGTGAATTTGCTTTGGTACTGTAAGTGAAGTTTGCTGGATGCTTAAGATTGGAGACCTTGATTTTCTTCTTGGGCTAATGAAACTTGAATCTCATCTGACACGTAAGTGTTGACTTTACCTTACTCTTGACTGAATGCACACTGGACTATGCCACATAACTTCTTGAATACCCTGGTGTATGATTGGAAATGACACTACAAAATGTGACCACATCAGCTATCTGCTGCTTGCTCTGTCTTGATAACATTATTGCTGTCTTCAACAGAATAATTGCAGAACGACCTTTCAATGGGCCTGGCCCAGAGGAAGCCGATCCTCCCAGCCCTGTGCGCATGCGAGCTTTAGCGTAAGGCTATTCTGGTGCAAAATAATTTCCTTTAAACACTTTCCAAATTGCTGATTTTTTTAGATTTTTTTTTGTAGTGGATGGAAATTGTGGAGCTCTCTAGACAGATTTAGTCTGAGACTTGGTCTTGAAACAGTTTTTTCTTTTTTTTTATTTTATTTTATTCCTCCCCCCCCTTTTTTTTTTAATGTGTGGCTTTTTGGTTTTGTTTGGTTTTGTTTGGTTTTGTTTTGTTTTTTTCCTGAAGGATTTTTGGGGTATCCTAAGTTGACAGATAGCACCAGCATGGCCTGGGTAATTCTAGTGACCTCATTTCACTTTCAGGTTTCAATCCAACTGTAAGGAATACGCTGTGGACTTGCTTGACATACACAGCAGGCAGCAAAGCTGATGGTCTCACGTCACACTTTTCGTAGCTGTCACAAACCTCACAGTGGTTAACCATTACACAACCTTGGTCTAATCCTAGTGTTTGGATTGTCTTTAAATTATAATCTTAAAACACTGGCAGGTTTAAACAGGGACAGAGAAGACCTGTTAAGTCATCAAGTCAGTCCATGCTCAACAACTTCCTGTGTTTTGTGCTTATTAAATATCTGATCCCTATATGTATGGTTAATAAAGAAGAAGAGCTTTTAAGACTGCCTTCTGCAAAGTACAGAGAAGAAAACTAGCTTGGGAGGAAGACTCAGCAGCATTGTAGTATGTTAACATCTCTGCCTAATGCTGTTCAAAAGCTTTAGTTCATGCATTTTTAAGACCAGTGTGATACAACTCCCCCAACTTTACTATTCTTGCTGTATATTGACCTTTAGCTAGAAAGAATGCTCTCTTTTTAATAACTTAATCTGTTTAAAACTCCAGGCCAAAGCTCTATAAGGAGAACAGTGATGCTTCTGATCGCTGAACATTGGCAGTCCAACTTAAGACTGCATTTCAGAATTATCAAACTACCTACCGATTTCAGCTGCAATTGTCTTCAGTTGTCAGTGTCCCTGTAAAGTTGGGTTCAAGTCTTTAAATACATCAAATATTTGGAATAGTTCACATTAGAAGCCAACTCTGCAAATACTAGCTCTGTGAACTTTGGCATTGTTCTGTTCCGGTACTCAAACTGGCGTTAGATAGTTGAAAAATGAATTTTAAGAGTTTTTCACATGTACAGTTTAATGCTCTTATGCTAACAGTGCTTCTGTGAGAGGGGATGCTTTTGTCTTCAGCTTGCATTTTTATCACTGGTGTAAATACAGATAAAGCAAAAGTCTTTGGTAAAATACATCATTATATAAAGCCAAGTACATTACAAATCCAAACAAATTAGTTTTCACAACGGTGTGCTCAATGGTCCACTGAATGTTTAGTTTCTTCACCTCTCCTCCCAAGTCCAGCTAGCATTCAGTCCCTTAAATTAGTGTGGCTGTACAGTACTATGGATTACTAATGACTTCTATTGTCTTCTTCCCCATTGTGTACAGATGGGAGAATCCTCAGCACAAGTTTCTACTGCTATTGGATGGACAGCGCCAGATGTTCACAGCGCGTCGTCATTAATTAATTAAAATGGAAAGGTTTTGTCTGTGAGGCAGCTCAGATAGATTAGATGTGCATAGGCATGAACTGAAGTCACATTTGCGCAGCGACTAAGGCATTAACTATGTTTTTCATTTATACAGCTCTTCATTCACGCAGCTCTTTACTGTAATAATTGGAAGTGCTAGTTAAGTTGTAGTCTCAAAGGACAGACAGATACTGTCTTCCAAGTTACTGACTAAACCTCCTTGTGAAGGGTATCTTTTTATGTGCGAATTCTAAAATGTGGGAGTAAGCTAAATTCAAATTCTGATGCTTGGATCGTTTCTGAAATTTACCATACTTAGGGTAGTTTGTATTTAATATATATTCCTAAACTCTCATAAACGTCAAACTTGGCACACTTTGGGACTCTCTGACTAGCACAACATACTTGTCTGTACTGATCTGAGACTGTTACTTGAACAGGAGGTAGATTGCTGTCCACAAAAGGAAAAGAGTATTTGCGCTGCTCATCTTGTCAGAAAACTAGGCGGGTAATTGAAATCTCCACTCCAGATACCATGCTTTGTTTTTCCCCA